ACCACAGTCAAATAAACAGAACAGACAAATCCTTACTGATACCATTCCACAATGACAGTGTAAAAACAACTATATGGTACCAATTTCAAAGGTAGAGGTGGCAAAAATGATTTCTTAAGAAATCGTGTCACAGACATAATTACCAAGAACCAAACAGAGGCCAATGTTTTCCTAGGAAGTCTGCTATTGTACGCATAACAAACATGAGCACGTCTTGCAAGGATCACAATTAATTCAACTGATTTCTGAAACTAGGTGATCTACCAATGGTGTGGGTCTAAGTGCAACAAGTTTGAGCGCCTCAAAGCTGCACAGGTAGCTACTGGCATCCGAGACAACGAGAGGAACGGACGAGCCCAGCTGGTGGTTGTAGAGGAAGGACATGAGCCTGCAGCGATGATGGAGGTATCAAATAAAAATGCCCATCAAACGTCTTTTAAGTATGGATGAATTTGCATGGAATACAATCTTAAGCATCCGGAAGTACTTATTAGAGCTTATTTTTATCACCACTAAGAATTTTACAGTTAAACCAATGTTTGCTATAGGCAGTACGATATCAGGTTTAGCTGGAAGGTTTGACATTTTTATACCTTGTCTTTGCACATCACAGGTTCTCGGTAAGAAGCCTGAAATCCCTGAAGGTGATGATAATGAGGATGTGGTTGCAGACGTGTCAAACAGGAAAATGGCCAAACTTTACATGGTAAACAAGTCTATAAACTTCAGTTTCATTCATCTATATGCAAACCTAACAGACACATGCACACAGACACACGCACAATGGAAATGTAACATGATATTATTTAATTACAACTGCACTTTACAGGTATCAGATGCAACAGGGAAAATGCAAGTATCGCTTGTGTCAGATGAAAATCCGTTTAAACAGAGTGACCTGTTGTCTGAGGAATGCTTCATTCTGGACCATGGAAAAAGCAAAATGATCTTTGTGTGGAAAGGTATTGGTAAACTGAATGCACTTAATGAAGTAATTGTGTAACCATCTTACTGAGATTACTTGACTTTATTTTTTGATGATCTAGGCCGCAACGCAAATCCAGATGAAAGGAAGGAGGCCATGAAAACAGCTGAGGGCTTCATTAAGCAGATGGGATATCCTGCCAACACCCAGGTTCATTAGATATGTGTATATGTTTTGCTGCATTATTTACATTCACTTGAATGAGTGACCATACCAACCATAGTTGGATGTAGCAACAAAAACACACACACACACACACACACATACACAAGAGCTTGTCTCTGGAGCAGTATCCTTAAAGGGACAACTTCGTACCCTATTTTCCCCTAAATCGGGGGTGTCCAAATCTGATCCTGGAGGGCCACTGTCTTGAAGAGTTTAGCTCTAACCCTAATTAAAAACACCTAAACCAGCTAATCAAGGTCTTCAGACTCACTAGAAACTTCTGGGCAAGTGTTTGGATCTGGTTGGAGCCAAAATCTGCAGGATGTCAACCCTCCAGGAACAGGACTGGAAGGTTCATAGTAGTACCTTAAGGGTACGTCAGGGGTAGATGATTGCTCCAAGATGTTGTATGCCTAAAAGATACAATTTTTGCATTTTTTTTCAGACAGGGAAAACGAATAGTATTCTTTGGGTCACCCAGGTCTTTTCGTCCCTGCACACAGATCCAGGTCCTTCCAGAGGGTGGAGAGACGCCCATCTTTAAGCAGTTTTTCAAAACCTGGAAAGAGAAGGACCAGGCTGAGGGTCTAGGCAGAGTGTATGTCACTGAGCGGATCGCCAAGATTAAGCAAGAAGTGTTTGATGCCTCCAAGCTGCACGAGTCTAATCAAATGGCTGCTCAGTACAACATGGTTGACAATGGCACTGGAAAAACACAGGTAACAATTTGCATACAAAAGATCAGAGATTGTATGTTCAATTGTGCTGCCGTTTGGCATAGCAGAAGATGAACATCTTACTGTCAAAATGACACTCAAAATGAAACTAGAAGATAAGCTGCTGAATGATTTTTGCACTCAAAAATAGTGGTCACATTTACCGCTGTTCAGTGAAATGCAGTAATTTTAAGATGTCACCATGCAGATTTCACAACGGGTTCAAGTTGGTCACGTGGATTCACTGTATTGACCAACAGAGTGACTTCTGTTTGAGAGCACCTTAAGAGGACGTCATTTCACAGCAATTACAGATTGTTATATTATCACAGGATGAAATCCACCTGTCCCAACATGTAAATATAGTTGATGGATATTCTTAATCTGGTCTTGTTTCACAGATTTGGAGGGTGGAGTGTGGTAATACCACAGGTGATACCAAGGTTCCTGTTGACCCAGAGGCATACGGCCAGTTCTACGGAGGGGACTGCTATATCATTTTATATGCCTACACCAAAGGAGAAATCATTTACACCTGGTACGCCTCATAGAAGTAGATAGTTTCCAGAGGGGGAGTCAAATCATACACAAAAAGAATCAAATGAGGCTTATCACTCTATGCTTCCACCCTCAGGCAAGGTTCCAGCAGCACAATAGATGAACTGACAGCTTCAGCCTTTCTCACTGTTGAGCTGGACCGTTCGCTGGGAGGAAAAGCTGTTCAGGTGAGCGGGATTTGAATTTTATCTATATACTAATTTACTGACTGTAACTGGGGCTGGATTATGAACTAGATAAGTAGGGCTTCAAAGATGTCCAGCAGCCCCGACTGAAAATCTAGAAGAAAACACAACTAGGCTAGAGTTGTTGTCTTATTATGGTTCCCCATTCCATGTCCATTCAGGTGCGAGTGACTCAAGGAAAGGAACCACCTCATTTGCTGAGCCTCTTCAAAGAAAAGCCTCTGATCGTGTACAAGAACGGGACCTCTAAAAAGGGAGGACAGGCACCCGCACCTCCAACACGTCTCTTTCAAGTGCGCAAGAACCTGGGCACCATTACACGGATTTGTGAGGCGAGTCCTGGTCTACAAACTCAATGCCCAGAAACACATGAAATTATTAGGAAAAGGAGGATCCAGATAAACCACGTTTTCATATCTAACTTGGTCATTTATAGTCAGTAGTTGGTACAAGTTGGTTGATGACCCATGCGGTTGACAATCTAGGTCATTCTGGTTAGCACTGGCAGATCATCTAGTCCAAGGTGGTGGAGATCTGCTTGATGTTCCAAAACAGTGTTCATCTTTGGTTAAGCTGACCTATTTTTAAGTGTAACTTCAATTTAGATATGTCCCTTGAGGGTAAACTGAATGCACTTAATGAAGTAATTGTGTAACCATCTTACTGAGATTACTTGACTTTATTTTTTGATGATCTAGGCCGCAACGCAAATCCAGATGAAAGGAAGGAGGCCATGAAAACAGCTGAGGGCTTCATTAAGCAGATGGGATATCCTGCCAACACCCAGGTTCATTAGATATGTGTATATGTTTTGCTGCATTATTTACATTCACTTGAATGAGTGACCATACCAACCATAGTTGGATGTAGCAACAAAAACAAAAACAAACAAAAAAAAAAAGAGGTAAAAATTAGTAATCTACCCATGCGGTTGACAATCTAGGTCATTCTGGTTAGCACTGGCAGATCATCTAGTCCAAGGTGGTGGAGATCTGCTTGATGTTCCAAAACAGTGTTCATCTTTGGTTAAGCTGACCTATTTTTAAGTGTAACTTCAATTTAGATATGTCCCTTGAGTGTGTTGGTTTGTGGTCTAACAGGTACATGCTAAAGCATCAAGTTTGAACAGCAATGATGCCTACCTTCTGAAGTTACCTGAGGGGGATGGGTACTTGTGGAAGGGGAAGGGGGCCAGTGAGGAAGAGGAACGAGGGGCAAAGTACATGAGTGAGAAACTGAAGTGCAAAACCAAACCAATTACTGAAGGAAACGAGCCAGGTATGGCCAATGCGCAATAGATTCAATTCATTCTCTTCATGCTTTATACTCACACATAGGTAAGAGTTACAGGAGTTACTGACGACATTTACATCTTTTAACTTTTACATAATTGTTGCCCATTGAAAGAGGACTTCTGGAAAGCTCTGGGTGGAAAGACAAAATATCAGACATCTGAGATGTTGGAGAGCAAATCTATAGCACATCCTCTCCGCCTGTTCGCCTGCTCCAACAAAAGTGGAAAGTTCATCGTGAGTATCCTAGACCGGATATAAGAGAGAGCCAAAGTCCAGTTCGGTTTCACATTAAGCTTTTGCTTTCGATACAAATTCTGCATTGGAATCTATGCTTAAAATGTAAAACATGTCTTGGCTTCCTGTGTTAACTGCTCAGGTACTGCTACATATAGGCAAACTGTTGTTTGGACACTAAACATGCATTTTACAACTATAGATTGAAGAAGTACCTGGTGAGTTTAACCAAGATGACCTGGCAGAGGATGATGTCATGTTGATGGATGTCTGGGATCAGGTAAGACAGTTATGTTTCTTTTTGACTATCTCTAAGATTCAAAGGACAGCAGTTGTCTCTGATTAGAGTTCTGACAATCTTTATTTTAGCATTCAAATATATCTCCTGACTTTCATGGATTAGCATGTGCCACTGATCCTTGATTTCATCTCTCAGGTGTTTGTGTGGATTGGAAAGGATGCCAATGAGGTTGAGAGGACTGAGTCTGTAAAATCCGGTGAGATTCAGGCAAACATTCCTTAAAACGTCTTTCTTCATAATCTGAATACAAAACAGAAACCCCTTTAAAACTCAACAGGTTCAACAGCATACTTGAACAAACCACATTATTCTCACATGCAAAAGATACATTTTAAATGTAAGATTATGTAAAATCAGTCTTTTGATTATGTCCTCTCTTTGTAAACTAATAAATGTAGTCATACAGCTTTTTGAGTATTTGTACCTTTGCAGCAAAGACCTACATTGAGACGGACCCATCAGGACGAGACAAGGGGACACCTGTTGTGGTGGTAAAGCAGGGACACGAGCCCCCCACCTTCACTGGCTGGTTCCTGGGGTGGGACGCCTCTCGATGGGACAGTGACCTCATGGCAAGAGCAGTGCAATCACTGCAGGTTTAGTGAAATCCTAAAAGTCCTAAAGTCAATAGACTTGACTGGAATGATAAAACAGAAAGCTATTTACGGAGGCATGACAAGCGATTTGACTATTCCATTAAAATCCTAAAAATATGCCACATGTCCAACATGTAAAGTTAATCAACATATGTCAGATCTTAAAGTTGGGTATTTCTCTTTAATTTGTTTGCACAGATTTATATTTGTGCTCTGGATTTCTATAAGCATGATTTCAAAACATACAATAAAAGAATCAATACATTTTTCAAAAAATGTCTTGTCTTAGTCAATGCAGTACACAAGAGCGCCCTAGAGACAAAAAAAAAAAGAAAAAGAAAAATGAATTACAAAACAAGTAATACATTCCAGATGTGATGTCGTTTTACTGACCACCAAGACACACAAAAATACTGTGGAAATACTATGACCAAAGTTAGTATAAGAAGATACCATGGTACTAAAATTCATGTACCAACTGGTACTTCCAGGAACACCATGGTACTACTATGATACATGTCATACATATAAGCATACTGATTATAATTTAAGAAATGCAAATTTCAGGGTTAAAATTTCATCGCACCCAATAAACTACTTGAAAATATTTACTTTATTTTGGTAAATGCAAATTGTAAGTAGCGGGATTCAATGCTGTGACATTATTTTAAAACCAGCCTGCACAGGCTGATGGGGATCTTCAATATAATTACTCAATAAATATTGGAACAATGGTTAAATGTGTATTAAGGGCTTGTAATGACGATGCATTGTACGTGGGGAGCTAAATGGCTTGGTCAAGTGCATGCTACACTCATAATTAAAGTGACTAAAGAAGTATCGAATCATATTTTTTCACTATGCTAGTGAGAATATCTCATAGACTCCCTGTTTTTATATCAAGCTAATCATACTTTCAATGTCTTAACCTGACCCCAACCCCTAAAACTAACCCTCAGTTGTACACTTCATTAGATTTAAAGACTAATATCATCTGAAACATTTATAAACAAAAAGATACATTAACAAAAACAAAAGACTGCCTCATATAAATCATGAATACTTGTAAACGTGTCAGTGGCCACATTTGTGACTGCTGGGTTTATAGCAAGTAACTTTGATTCACATCCTAAATTTGTATTACTACCTTTACATGAACAATAAAACTAAAAAGCTAAAACAAAATAAATATTTGTACTTTTGGTTTATCAATTTGACAAGATTTGTTTTTTAACACTATGAATTCCCACTGGTTACTGAAAATGGTGGCCAGAAATAGGCTACTACTACTACTACTAATAATAATAATATTAATAATAATAATAAAACTGTACTGGCTGCAGCTTGCTCAAGGGAATCTTACAGGCATAATATGGGTTTAAATGAGTTAAGCAATGGGTGAATAATCAGAGCGCATTCCTTCCAATACCACATGATGGCGCACAAGTGAAACAAAACGTTTTACGCAAGAAATCCTTTATTGGAATTGGCAAAACCCTTCAACCAAACTATAGGTTAACACATATTGAGTACTGTTTAATCTAACAGAAATACTAGGCCTATATGTTACTTAAAATAAGTTTATATTTTAAAAACCGCAAAGCTGTTACCCAAAAGGCTTGATTGTAAGAAATGAACATTTAAAACAGTTTTCATGCATTATTTTTTAAACGTAGCCTATTTTGTACATTTGTTAAACTTGGTTGAATATGCACATTACATTAGACATCATTGAAATGGGGTTCTAGTGTCATCTTTTTAAGTGATATACTAATTTGTACTGAAATGACTAGTTTATTAAGTAGCTCAGACGAACGATTGTTTAAAGACGGGTAATCACGGGAGTCTAGGGTATTCAGTAGTCAAGGTGTATGAATGGATGTGTGGTGTACGTGACAGCACGTCCATCACGGGCTAATTGTTCTGACACTTTGCTACACCTCCTTTCTTTGACAGCGCTGGCTCACTAATGTTTATTGCATTTTGCTTTCCACAACACAGCAATTCTGTTAGTTTTCACACTTTGACTTAGCTTTTCTTTACTTCCTTTAAAGTTAAAGACTCTTCTACTGGGGTCCTTTTAGCACACAAATGTTAAGGTCCGAACTGAAAATCATCTTCTCTATAAGCAGCCAACTACCATATCGTGTGTTCCGCAATTTCTTTAGTCATTTATTAGAATCAGAACCAGTGATATCCGTTTCGTGAATGAATAACTCTTTTGAATCGGTTATTTTGAATGAATTGCTCAAACACGTTAAAGGGGTCATATGATGCGATTTCAATTTTTCCTTTCTCTTTGGAGTGTTACAAGCTCTTGGTGCATAAAGAAGATCTGTAAAGTTGCGACCACTAAAGTCTCAAAACCAAACAGATATTCTTTATAAAAGTTAAAGAGTTAACCACGCCTACCTAAAACGGCTCGTTCTAACACGCCCCCACATACCTACGTCACGATCTGGGAAGATTTGCATAACGCCGCCCAAATGTGCACGCAAAGAATGAAGGCATAACTTTTATTCTCACTGTAGTATTGTTGATGCTGCAGCCATGTTCTGAAGACGCTGTGTGCTTCACTGTAATATTGTTGATGCTGCAGCCATGTTCTGAAGACGCTGTGTGCTTCATTGAGAAAGCGAAACTACTTTGTTTGGTCTTCCAAAAGAGGACGATATCCGCTTCGTCATGCCTAGAGCTGATCTGTGCTGGTCGCTGAGGAAATACATCAACTTTCACCGTGGACGAAGCGAAGTCCAGCCCGCCTCTGCTCACTCTATACCGGCCTCAGCGCACGCTAAGCCGGGGCTTCCCCTCACGCTAGGCCGCTGTGAAAACGGGCCGAATCGGTTCGTTATTTAGTCTAAATGATTAACTGAATCTTTAAAGCAGTGTCCAACTCAGTAAAACATTAACTTATTAGATGAAGTGGATATTTCCCAATAATACATTGAAACAAAACCTCCACACCCATCTTTTTGGATACCAGCTAAATAATTTAATTAGGCTAGTACTTATAAACTAGTAACGCTCACCTGTAAGCGCGTCTCTCAAACTTTAAACGCCTTGAGCGACATGAACAGGTGGTGTGTCCAAAAAGACGACGGGCTTGACTTTTCACCAATCAAACTCCAAGGAAAATAACACGCGCTCACTGAATTGAACCAATCAGCGCGTAGTTCTACACAGTGGGCGGAGCCAACCCTGCTAGAATGAAGTGGAAGGCAGCCCGCTGTAGAGTCAGTGAAACAGGCGCTGATACAGGGAGCGGATACACTTGTCGGCTCAGCTGATCTAAATGGCAACAATATTTTGGAAATAGTCGTAAACATTTTCATCTTATGAGCTAACGAGTAATGCAAGGATCGCACTAAATAAGGTGGGTGCCGAATGAGATTTTATTTCCATACGCGGGTGCATACAAAGCTTAAATTGTAGAAAAATAGCATTAGTCTGTGCAATAATGTAATTTAGAGTAACTTATTATTTTGGTAATGAATTAATAGCGTTCTGGAGCCCGTTAAGCATTTTTAGCGCACAAAATAGTTATGATTCTCATGTTGAATCACTTGTTGGGAGAAAATGATGACAAAATTCATGTCTTTATGTATGGAGATGAGCCCCTCCTAAAGCGCTTTTACAGATGGCCATAGAGATCTGCGACAGACTCGTGTTTTCCCCGTTTACATAGGCTAGCTTGTGCATTTTTCTCTTTTTGCAACTGGCAACTACTGTTTAACAATAAAATGGCAAGAATAGATGAACAGGAGCCTTTGCGCGCTAGGATTTTTACCGATGCGTAATTCTGGTGACCCTGTGGTGCTACATGTGCAAATGGGCTTCCTGCTGTTTCATCCTTCATTCACCATCACTGGAACTGAATGACACCCAACTAGGTTAAATGTGTGTGCCTTTTAGAATGACAAAGAGAGAAGCATTCTTACTTAGAATGAACAGCAAAGTAACAGAGAGCTCTAAAAGTGTGTGTGTGTCATGGTGTTCCACTGCTGGCCTCATTGCATCATCTCCTTTTTCATTTGGTTTCAGGTTATAGCAGCAGCAGCTTCTCAGGGGAAAGAGAGAAGCCTTGTGAATATTTGGTGAAGCATCAGCGGTAGCAGCTCCTGAGTCTCCGCGTTCGCTTTCATCCTCATCAGAGTGACGGAACAAGATGGGGAATGGATTATCAGAGCCCCATGCCATCTTTCCCTGCCTGCCGTCCTTTCAGGCCCTGCACATTGTTATTCTCGGCTTGGACTGTGCCGGTAAGACTACCGTATTGTACCGGCTACGCTTTAATGAGTTCGTGAACACTGTTCCCACCAAAGGCTTCAACACGGAGAAGATCAAGGTGACTCTTGGTGGGAAAATCCGGACTGCAACCTTTCATTTCTGGGATGTAGGAGGTCAGGAAAAGCTCCGGCCTCTGTGGCGCTCCTATACGCGGTGTGCTGATGGCCTCGTGTTCGTAGTGGACTCGGTAGATGCCGAACGCATGGAGGAGGCCAAGACGGAGTTGCATAAGATCACACGGCTACAGGAGAACCAGGGGGTGCCCGTGTTGGTGGTGGCTAACAAGCAGGACCTGCGCAGCGCGTTGCCACTAGGTGAAGTCGAACAGATGTTGGCACTGAACGAGCTCGGCTCTCATACGCCTTGGCACCTCCAACCGGCCTGTGCCATCATCGGAGAAGGTCTACAAGAAGGCCTGGAACGTCTCCACTCCATGATCATCAAGCGGAGAAAGATGATGAGGCAGCAGAAGAGGAAAAGATGACTTTTTGTAGATGGGATGTGAGCTGGATGTGGTAGAAGGCCTCTATGACGGCTCTGCTGGTGACGTGCCATGGGCCATTGTGGCCCTGCGCTCCTGGAATTATTGTTTCGGCGGGCTGAGTTTTATCAGTCAAATGGTTCTGGATAAATACAGTTCAGAGACCGCAAGAGGACAATATTGATTTACCACTTTAGTTGTTGGATTGTAGCAGCGGTGGGACGATCACATGGAACTTTTACATCAATACAAGTCTTACAAAATGTCAACAGGTCTTGTGGTACATTGAGTTCTCATGAAGGACCACACTGGACATGAACTTGTAAATGACGAAGACCTACCCCTCTTTGTCCTTGCATCTGAAGTGTTACACTTATCCTAGCATTCATGTAAAGTCTTGAAATGGAAGGATTGATTACCAAAGCTGCCATGGACATCATGAAAAATCCAATGTATACATTCAGGTGATGTGTTTTCCCCCATTGGTTTTATCCAGAATGGCCAACCATCATTTTCCCTGGGTGTTTGTTGTCCTGGTGGACAGGGGAACCAGAATAAGCTTTATGGATCACTTGTTTGGGAATGCACAAATGTTGAAATCGGATTGGAGAAGGGTCTACCACTAAAGTAGTTCAACAGGTGAATGTGGTAACTGTCAAGAGGTTAACTCAACATGTTGATGCAGTAGCTTCTCCCAAGTTTGAGGACTACTGGTGTCATTTCTAGCTGTACCTACATTGTGTGCTTCCCTGAACGACAAGAGATGTTTAAATGCACTTTAGCAATTCCCTTTTCTAAACTATGAACTTGCAGCATCTGATTTTTTTGTAAAGAGTTTATCATGCTACAAAAAGAAGTAATGTATTTCTTCGAGTGAAGCATTTTTTTTTATATCCACTGTTCCACATTCAAATGTGTCAGTTTGTCACTCAGTGCTTGTGTGTTGAGGGATGTTCATATTTATGTGTCAGAGTTTGTACACTTTGAATAAATCCACAACTACACTAAACATGTTTTGAGTCCTCATTACTACCTGTTACATGACACTCATGCTAATTATCAAAGTTTATGACCTGACAACATCTCTAATTGCATTTTTAGTCTGATAATCGTTTGATGCACTTCACAGTTGAGTCACAGAAGGTTGTTCCTTTATAGAGTCAGTAGGACATGCAAAATAGACAACATGACGTGAACTGGACCAATCAGGATGTACTTTGTACTGTCACTGAACACTTAATGTTATAGGTACTGCAAGAGTGCAATTATTGCATCTCCATATTGAATATAAAAGCTGAAATTTAATTTGTACATTGTGGTGTTTACTTTTATGTATTTCAGAGTCATCAGCTATAAAAAAAAAAATCTAATTTTTTTCTATGCACTTATTTTAAAATGTTACATTGTAATGAATTTACAATGAATACAATGAATTTAAGTTCTGAATTTAATTGTTTTGTCATAATGAATAAATTATTAAAAGAATGAAACTCAGCAAACAATTCTAAATAAATAAATAACCTATAAAAATATATTTTAAAATATATTGTTTTTGAAAAAAAAAAAAGATTAAAATGTATTCAAGGTGTAAGGAAAAACAGGTTAAACTAACAATATATATATATTTTTTTAAGTTTTTCATAAAACCACATGAAACCAACTTGAAAACAGACATTTCTAAGAAAAACTAACTTGGCACATGTGTTTTAATCTAGTTTCTGGTATATTATTAGATATCTAGTATATTAAAAATAAATAATATATCTAGTGTATTATTTATTGTTTAATATTTTTCTTTATCATGGACAGTCTTGTCATTGACCCTTAAAACCAAAAATAACTAAATGTTCTTGCATAACAAGCCAAACCGACTGAGAGTTCATGCTTAATTAAACATTAATCAAATAAGACCGCACAAACAGAATTTGTTCTTTTACAAACTGCGATACCTAACTGCTCAGAGTTTTAAACACAGCTGGCTTGCCCGAAGCCCCACAGAGTCGCTTGTTGTGTTTGGAGAGGATCTGGCACAGCCAGTTCTAGCACAAGAGCGTTTTCCCTGGGAACAATGAGGCTTTAACACAGGGAGAGAGGGGTCTGTACACCAGCTGACCAGTTCAAACAGGAATCCTTCACTGGACGTTGGTCGGTTCAGCATTCTGGATGACAGACGTAGATCACACGATACCGGCTTCAGAGATAATAGAGGTGGGATTGGCTTCTGATTGGGTCTCAAATCATGAAAAATGCAAACACATCCTCCACAAAAAACAACGCACCATGCTCAGGGAAAACCTGCTGTTTTGGTTCTCATACAAGGAGACGGTACAAAGAGAATTCACAATTTAGCATCTAAAACACAGTTGCATGCTTTCATATATTATGTTTTGAAGGGCAACAACATCAAGACTCAGTAATCCAGCTTGGCTGGGCACGAGGCTTTGGAGAGAGGTTTGATCTGGCTGTCTGACTGTCTGCTTTGATTTGTTTGAGAACAGCACTTGAGAATTATACCTGACAACCTCTGCTTCACAAGCCATGTAGGTGAGCTGAGGAATTTTAATGAACCAGAGTGCCGTGCCTTTTGTCTTTGCATGAAAGTACAGCTCACTTGTATTAGTAATGCTGTTTCTTTGAGGGGGGCTGGCGTTATGCCCAGCGCCCCATGGTCTGTTCCACTAAAACATAATTTAAGCAGGGCAGAGGTTAAGCTTGTGTGCCGTTCCCATACTCCACTATCGCTCCTGACCCTTCCTGTACGCTGCTGTGACCCAGTTCGGGCCTCTTTCCTTCTGATCCTGTGATGTAAGTGACATGGGACTGAAGGGCCAGTGTTGGTAGAGGAGATCAGAAATCAGAGCAGGCTTCCTGTTCGCTCCACCCTAGAACACGCTGAGTCAGGACATGGCATCGAACACTCCCTTCACCGGGTGTCCTGCTTGTCTCTGCACGGCTGTGCGTCATAAAAGAGCCATTTATGCTTGTAAAACTCTAGCTTACGGTCATAAAATTTGCTCCAGGCCATCATTAAGGCCATTTGGGAATGTAGAATCAATCTGGAACACTAAATGTTTATGCACAGCAGATGTTTACTGTAATTTAAAGTTCCCGTGACTTGAAGATAAATGTTTCTAATGAGCAAGTTTTATATATTTCCTCATTCTATGGGCTACATGTTGTGTTGACACAATATGGTGATACATGAGAAGTTATGACAGAATGGATCATGAATGATTCTGAATAATGAGGCAAATATGTATTTCAAAGAAATGTGAAAGCAGTCAATTTAAATATTACAAGTTTTAAAGTAAAAGTTACT